GCTGCCTCCTAGCACCCTTTGCTTTAGCCCCAGCAGCTTGGGCAGGGCCCCACGTGGATGCGCTTCCAGGAGCATCTGCCCCTGCCCAGCACGGGAAGGCGGCGGCGAGGTGTGAGAGGGGCCAAACTCCACAGCTGCTGCTGGCACCCACCCGGCCCTGCCCAGAGGGGTGCCCACCGAGGCCTGGCAGGGATGGCCTGTGCACAGCTGGTGTGGAGGTCAGACCCTGCCAGGCTGGGGGCACGGGCAGCAGGGAAGGAGCCAGCGGGCAGTAGGCTGGGGAGGGCAACGAAAAGATGGGTGGTTTATTGAAAGTTTGGTCCGGACACTTATAAAAATACAAACTGGCATGAAATTCAACCTCATGGCAAAGTCCGTCTTCACAGAAGACAAGTGAGTGACCCCCTGGGCAGGGCAGGTGCTGCCCCCGGGCACAGATGCCAGGGCTGCTGCTTCGCGGGGGGCCAGCAGTCCACCTGTCCCCAGGCCTTCAGCCGTGGCTGGCTCAGGGGTCCTATTCCAGCAAATTCCCATCTTCCCAGGGCTGAGATGAGAGCGTGGAGCAGCCGGCGAAGCTCCTAGGTCTGTCCTGCTTCTGCTCTGGGGGCCCGGCTGTCTGCAGCTCCCTCGCGTTCCTCTTCAACCTGAGGCGAGGGGGCGGGGTCCTAGAAGGGTCATCTCAGAGCCCTTGGACCCCCAGAGATGCTCCACCTCGTCTGTCCCCCAGGACCGGTGGTGGCAGGGTTCCTCCTCCTCCTCCAGGGTTTCCGGGGGGCCTCTGGCTCCTTGGGGCGGCAGGGAAGGCCTGCTTGGCTCAGAGGACTCGCAGCAGACGTAGGATTGGGAGCAGCAGCAGCAGTAAGAGACAGAGGGGGCTGGGCGCGTGGCCCCCTCGCCACCCCGATGTGCCGCTCTCTCCGGGGCTTCCGACGGGATGGGCGGACTCAGATTCTGTGAGGGGAGAAGGAGAGCTGGTGGGGCCTCCCGCCCCCCCCTCCAGCCTGCCCAGGAATGCTTCACTCCCATTCTGCGGGGTCTCCTGAGCCAGCCCCTCCCTTCCCAGACAATCTGCAGAGACCATCAGCTCAGAGGCTTCAGGCCTGCAAGGGGCTCACCCTTCCAAAGCCCAGCTCCACAAAGGGTGCGTGGAGGCTCCCACAAAGCTAGCTGGGGAGGGGGCACGAGTGGAAGCCCCACCTGGAGCCCTGAGCAGATGCTCCCAAGGCCCCCCCTCCCCAGGGCCCCCATGGCCGCCAGCCACTCACTGCTCTCCTTGCAGCAGACGGACACCTGCAGCCTCAGGCACCTGCCAGGAGCCTCCGGAGTGGGCACCGCTGGTGGGAAATCGGGAGGAAGAAGTCAGCACAGGCGCTGGGGCTTTGTACACTGCACCCCGGGAGTGTCTCTGTGCCCCCAGCCTTGCCCCAGCCCCCTCTCCTGTCCTGGCTCCTCTGCCTCCCCCTCCTCTCTACAGACTCCCTCTGGCTATTCCCCTGCCCTGCTCTGGGTGCCGCAGGTCCCCAGAGCTGTGGTGGCCTTGGCCTCTCCTGGCCCCCCCCCCCGCTGCTGTCTGCCTGGCCAGGTGGCCGCACTGGGAGCCCGCTGCTCTCTCCCCTGCTCCCCCCGGAGGTGCCCACCCCGCCACTCACAGATGTAGTAGTAGGTCTCTCCAGGCAAGAACTCAAAACCCAGGGAGAAGGGGGTGAAGCGCTGAATCTTTTCTGAGAAGCGCACAGGGCCAGAGGGGGCGAAGGGCAGCGAGCACACCCAGCGCTTAAAGGCGCCCGCGCCCTCGGCCCGGCAGGCCTGGTAGCCCCGCCAGTCCACCATGTACAGAGCAAAGGTCTCGGGGCCCTCGGGGGGCCCTGGGCCTTCATAGTGCGGGCAGTAGATGTCCAGGTAGTCGTTGAGACCCAGCTCCACCACGGCGTCACCTCGGAGCAGCCTGCAGACAAGGGAGGGGTGGGCTAGGGGGTTCTGGCCCAGCACTGCGGGGCGAGGGTCTCGCACCCCTTCTCAGGGGTCCCCGCCAGCCTCTCTCCCACCTGCTGGAGCCGGGGCAGCTCAGAAACCCCAGCCTGAAGTCCTGACCCATCCATTCAGAGATTCAATGCGGGGAAGGGGCTGGGACCATGGTGCCCACCGCCACGGGGCTTCGTTGTGAGCCGGCATCACCCACCCCACAGGGGCCCACACTAGCCTGGCACAGCACCTGTATGTGAGCTCATAGGCAAATGGCTGCTGGGACAGACGGGCAGACGGACTGGCCCACCATTCAGGGACAGAGATGGAGGTGGGGCCTGGGAGCACCTCCCACCCCCAGCAGACACTGAGCCCACGGTGGAAGGCAGGCCCTGGGTGCTGGGTGCAAGGTGCCTCCTCTCTTCTCTCCTGCTGGCGCGAGGAGTGCCAGGCACACGCCATCTCTACACACTGCCCAGAGCGCAGCCTCCTGGGAGCTGCAGGGACAGCCAGTACCAGAGGAAAAGCCACCCCCACCCCCACCCCACCAACACAAGGCAAAGTGTGACCTGCGAAAGCCCCCATTGGCCCTCAATGGATGGCCGGCCAGAAGGCCACCAGCCCCTGGGGTTCAGAAATGAGGGCTCCTGGGCTCAGCCAGGCCTTAGGAAACGCAAGCTAAGCAGGACAGGGCCATCCCGCTTTGTCCCAACTCCAGTGCCTGGAAAAGTACACAGGAGGAAGTGCACGGGCGAACTGGGAACCTGAATTTTTAACAGGTCCTCGCCCAATTCAGAGGCACTGGTCTGGAACAGAGAGGAATTCAGGGTCTGAGGAAAACAATAGGCCTTATCACTTGGTATTGGTATTGTAGTGACAGGTCATTACCCAGCCCCCCCAACCGGGGTCAGTGGGCTCCCAGGGCACAGGGTCCCAGGTCCCCTCTGCTAATCCCCAGCCGCCTAGCACAGGTCTCTGCACACAGTACGTGCTTAATAAATGCTAGCCAGCGAACAAATGAACACAGATTGTATCAAGCAGAAAATCAGCAAGGAAAACAGATGGGGACAGCAGAGAAGCAGGGAGAACTGGGGAGGGGATGAGGCAGTGGAGCTGCGGATTCCAAGGCAGGCAGCAGAGAAAGCCGGATAAATAATGGTCTCTCTGCACACGGAGCCCGCATCTCCCTCACACACGCGGCCTCCGGAGCCGCCTGGCTTCTCAGGCTACCAGGTATTATTAGCCCATTTTGCAGATGACATAACTGAGGTTAGGGAGGTCAAATGACTGGCCTAAAAGGTGATTCAGCTGGAAGAGGGCAGGGCTGAGACTGGAGGGTGGGTAAAGATCGAGATGAAAGCAGAGATACCCAAAGATGTCCCGGGTCGCCGAGCGCCCAAGGGAAGGGCGCAGCGCGCAGGGGAGCCTCTCCGGCTCTACCACCCGAGTGCAGCCCCCGACCTCGCCCTCAGGTCGGCCGGCCCCAGCGCGGGCCGCAGGAGGGATGCGGACCGCCGGGCGAGAGCGAGGGGGGCGGGGCCGGAGCGCGGGCCGAGCCCCCCAAGCCCCACGCGCCGCGCCCCCGCGACCGCCCTCGGGGCTGGGGTCCTCCGCCCACCCCCAACACGTGCGGGCGGGGGGAGACCCGGGACGCGCCTCGCCCCTCCCCCTCCCCCGCCGGCTCAAACAAAGGAGCCCCGGCGCGCGGCCCGGCTCAGGCGGCGCCGCGCCGAGAGCGAGTGGCAGGCGCGCGCACGGCCCGGGAGCGCGCAGGCCCGGCAGGGCGCCCGCCCGGTTCGGCCCGGCTACCTGGGGTTGCTGGAGTTCCAGTAGATGGGGTGGCGGAGGCTGGAGCCTCCCCGCAGAGGGGAGCCGAGGAGCGCGGCCCACAGGACAGTCCACAGCAGGGGCAGCGGCCGCATCGCCCCCGGGGTCGGGTCCGGTCTGGCCCAGCGGGTCCCGGCCCGCTTCGCAGTCGGGGCGAGAAAGGTACAAAGTGGAGAGGTGGGGGTTGCGGAAAGGGGGGTGGGGTGCGGAGACTCCCGAGCCACGCCCCTGGATAACTTTCCACCAATGGGAACGCGTCTCCGCCTCTCCACTCGGAGCCAACTCTCGTTAACCCTTTGTGCGCCGCATCGCGCGCCAAGTTTAGCCTAAGCTGCAACCGAGGCCTCACCACACTGCCCGGGGGTCACCGAGGAGGAACGTACTCCACGGAGGTTTTTTTTTTTTTTTTTTAAAGGAGATCATGCATTTTATGCCTGCGTTGTTAGTACAGCATAGAAAGCATTAGAAGTTCGGCACACACCTTTTGCCAAGATGGGGAAAGCGCAGCAGGGCAAGGTCTGAGAGTATCCAGCCACCTGCAGGTATTGCCTGCTTTTCTTTGCGCGTCTAGGGCTAGCACGAGGGGAAGGGACAAAGCTGTTTAGGACGCCACCCCCCACACCCAGCCCCAGAGTCTAACCACAGATGCACCTGGGGGTTGGCGCTCGTCCTTTCTGACCCACACCGCTCTGGGCCGGGGGCCCAAGTGTCCCAAAGGCGAAGCGACCAAGTGGTGACGGCTTGTACAAAGCACCTTTGTTCCCAAGCCCTCAGGTGGGGGCGGGGCGGGGGAGGGGGAAGAGGCAGGTGAGCGGCCTTGAGACCGTGGGAGCCGCCGCCCCGCCCCGCCCTGGCTCCGGGGCTCTGTGAACACGTCAGATCCACTTTTTCCCAGCCACTGGCCAGAGGGTGGGGACAACAGGTCCGACAGCTTGGCCGGCCGTCCACAGCCGCCCCTGGGGGCCACTCAGCGTCGAGGGAGAAGACCTGGAGACCCGGGGTGGCGAAGGGCGTACAATTCCCTGTGTTGCAGAATTGCACGGTGAAGCCCTCCCAGCCAGGATAGGAGGAGGCCCGGGGCCTCGCGCACCGCGGGCGCGTCCTGGGACGCCCGTCCTCGGCTGAGGCGGCAGCGTCTCCTGGCGGCCACACCTGGAACCGCAGCAGGAGCGCCGCGGTTTGCATTAGCAGACAAACACCGAGCCGCGCGCTCAGGATCCCAAATTTATTGCACGGAGCGGTGACAGGTGGTGCGCCCCTCCCGCAGTCCCCGTCCAGCCGCAGCCCCGCCCCGGCCCTCGGGCTGCAGCTCCGTGGGCAGGTCCCCTAAAGTGCTGCTCGGTGGCGTGCTGTCTGAAGACTCCTGTTCCGCCGCGTTCAGGCTCTGGGTCTTTAGGTCATCTTGGTGTGGGGGGAGGGGACTCCAAGGGGTGAGGCTCCTTCTTGGAGTCCTAAGTCCGGGTTAGAGGCAGCGGAACCTCAGGAGAGATCAGAGGTAGAGCGAGGACACTGCTGGGGGCGGCGGTGCTGGCCTGGGGCGCGGGAAGCCGAGAGGAAAAGGTCAGAAGTCCCCTCTCTCCAGACCACCCGCCTCGCCCACCCGTCTTCAGCGCCCACCCTCTACCTGGAGGGTATCACTGGAGGCGGGATCCCGGCTCCTGGGCCGGGCGGGTCACCTGATGGGCGCCGCCCCTGCGGGTCAGCAGGCAGTGGCTTCCTCGGGGGTGGCGGCTTGGCAGGCCCCTGGGACTGGGAGAGAGAGGAGGCAGGAGGGCGGCTTGGGTGGGTGGGGGTGTCACGTTGCTCGCCCCGATGCACCGGTAGGAGGAACACCAGCTTGGGGACAGCAGTACAGCACCATCGGTCACCCTTGTCTCCGAACAAACCTGTCACCATTAAGGGCGCCACCGGGGTACGTGCCCTCGGGCACAGAGGGGACGTCTCACCACGGCCACCAGCGCCACAGCCCTACGTGGGGGGAGAGGCTGAGCCCTTCTCTCCCCCCACGGTTACCTTCGGGCGCCTCACCACCGGGTCAGCGGGCAGCGGGCGGGTAGGGGGATTGGGCCGGTCAGCCAGTGCAGCCTGAACAGAGAGAGGGGCGGTGGCTGTGAGAGCTTGCAGAGGCTCCCCGGAGCAGCTTGGGTCTGCATGCAAAGTCAGCCTGGGGAGAGTGGGGGCATGCGCAGAGGGCGTGAGTGCATGCGCGCAGTTAGCCGTCTCGGGGAAGGGGAGGGTCGGCCCTCGGAGTCCCGGGCCGGCTGCAATCCCGCCGCTGACCACCAGATGGTGGTAGAATCCAAGGCAGGAGGCTCACCCTTTCTGTTGCTGGGGCTCAGAGTGTCGGAAGGCTGAGGGGGCCCCCGGTGACCTAACTGGCAGGGAGCAGGGATGACAACTGCTGCTGGGCGCCAAGCCTCCCACCTGCCCCCGGGGAGGAGGCCTGGCCCAGGTTTACCTGCAGTCTCTTGGGCACAGGGTCAGGCGGCAGCGGCCTGGAGGGGGCCCCTGGGAGGCCGGGCGTGCTGGCCTGATGAGAGAGCAGGAGGAGCTGACAGCCCAGGGAGGCAGAGGAAGCAGAGAGATCCGCGAGGCAGTGGGGGGTTAGTGGGGGCCATGCATGCAGTGACCGGGTGGCATGCGTGGCTGACGAGCGGGGAGCCAGAGTGCTGCCCACCTCCACACGCGCTACTGGCAGACGCCGGGGGCACAGGGCACGGGCGCTCGGCAGCCCTACCACACGTGGGGGCCTGGGTCTTGTCCTGGCCTAGCACACTGGGCACCACCCCCCGCCACGTGCCCTCCACAGGTCACCCACCTCTCCAAGCCACCAGCTCGGGCAGCTGAAAGAGCCCAGCACGCCCTCCTCTCGGCCACTGCCCCTCCCCACTGAAGGCTGGACTCGGGTTCCGCGCCTGCAGCCAGGGGTTGGGCAGGGCTGGACTGACTGCCTTGGCTGACTCTGGGCAAGGCCAGCTGTTTTCTGAGTTGAAGCCTTCGGTGCCTCCCCGGGGCCCACGCCAGAGGCTGGATCGAGCAGGCCCCCTTCTTCCCTGGCCTCAGGACTCACCTTAGCGCCCGGCACCAGCAGGGCCCTCCGTGGGGGTCCCGGTCGCTCCGGGGGGGCAGATTGGGCCACCCTGCGCATGCGGAAAGGCAAAAGAGGAGGGGGCCCAGCCTCAGACCCTGCTGCCACCTGTGTGCGCCCTTGGACAGGTGAGTCCTTGGGAGCCCCTAGGAGAGGGGCCGCTGTGGGGGAGGTGGTCAGCCTGAGGGGCGCTCCCAGGAGAGGTGGCCTGGCATCTCGGGCAGCCCATGGGGGACCCGTGTGGTGAAGGTTTGGGAGCCTGGGTAGGGAAGGCAGGTGTATGGGTGAGGCAGTCAGCAAGTTCAGGCTTGGGGCTTGGAGCTGCGGGCGTGGCGGGGTGGGGGGAGGCTGCAGACTGTCCCAAGTGGAAGAACAGGGAGCAGAGAGGTGATGCCCCACCTGTATTGGCAGCTGGGTCCCTTGAGCTGGCAGAGTCGCTGGTGCAGGCGGGCCCGGTGCCAGTAGCTGGCACCAAGCAGCAGCAGGACCAGGAGCAGCAGGAGGCTGAGGAGCAGCCCAGTGGTCAGGGAGCTGCTCGCTGTGGGGGCAGGGTCAGGGTCAAAGGCGGGCCGGGCCGAGAAGTCCGCACCCAGCAAGGGGCAGGGGGTAGAGTGAGGTGAAGGGGTCCAGGGTCAGAGTCGAGGAGCGCCCCCCACCCCAGCCCCTCCTGTGCTACCTCGGACCCGGGCGGTGCAGTCGGGGGGTGCCCAGCCGTCCTCACAGTGGCAGCGCTTGTTGCTGTCGCAGACCTAGCAGGGACAGGGCGAGCAACACGGGGCTTGCCCAGCTCTCAGATGCCCATGGCTGCAAGGTGTGCTGGGGATGACGGGCAGCGTCCCAGCCCTGGAGAGTGTCTGCCCGGGCCCACAGGAAAGGAGCCCTTCGACATGCTGGGCGCCTAGCTGGGGGCCCGGAAGTGGGCACTCTGAGCCCATTCAGCAGGTGAGGGACCGCTCAGGCTAACAACCTGCCTCAGACTCCCCAGGTCAGCGCGCCAGTCTGAGTCCCTGCAGCCCTTCTCCTGACACAGCTCCCTGCTAATGTGCCTGGGAAAGCAGCAGAAGGTGGCCCAAGTCCTGGGCCCCTGCACCCACATGGGAGACCCAGAAGCTCCTGGCTTCTGGCCCAGCCCTGGCTATCATGGCCATTTGGGGAGTGAACCTGCAGGAGGAAGATTCTCTCTTTTTCTGTGTGTGTCTGCTTTTCAGATAAATACATCTTTAAAGAGAAAAAAAAAAAAAAGCCACCTGCCTCCACACAGTAGGCAAATGGCAGAGCCAGGATCAGAGCCGCGTGTAGCTGTCCCTGAGACAGTGTTCTTTCCTCCCTGGAGCCCCCTCCCCTCTCCCAGCCCCCACACCTGCTCACCCCATGCCCGTGGCAACTGCTCCGACATTCCTGTGCTCCCAGGAGAGCCTCAGGCTGGCACCGGCGGTCCACGCACACCTGCCCCCCAGGGAGAGAAGAGCAAGGGTCAGGACCTCAGCCTAAGCCTCGTGCCCACCGCCTGCCAGCACACAAGAGTGGGATGGCAGGGCCGCGCTCCGTCTGCCGCCGCACACGGCTCCCTTTCTTTACGGTCTGCCCACCCAGGCTGCTCACCATGCCGGGGCCGCAGGCTGTACCGGGCAGAGTCAGGAGAGGCTGGGCCACGTCACTGCCGAGGTCCAGGTGCACCCAGGTGCAGTTCAGCTGGGTCCCGTTGGCTTCCACCATCTCCCAGAGCCTCTCTCTAGCCGAGCCCAGCAGGGGTCGGGCCCCGCCCCCCTGGCACTGGAGCTGCCCACAGATGGCGTCGCTGGGGGATGCGGGAGTGGACACACAGGGTCAGTGGGGGGCACACAGGGGACACCCAGGGGAGCAGGCAGGTTTGCTCACTCACCTCGGGGTGCAGGGCACGTAGCTGCCATCCGGGCTGCGCCCGCAGCTCCCAAACACATCCCCCCGCGTGTTGGCTGTGCGGAGGCAAAGCGGCTGGGCAGGCTGGGCTCCGGGCCCCCAGAGCGACTGGCACTGCTGGGCGTAAGAGGCACAGCGCCCGTGCACGCACACAGCCTGGCCGCCGGCACAGGGCTCGCCGTCTCCCAGGCTGGAATCAGGGGGGCACTGAGAGCTGTCTCCTGAGCACACCTCGGGCAGGTCGCAGTCACCTCTGGGAGGGCGACACTGCCAGCCAGCTGGGCGTAGCTGTGGGGGGGGGCAGCATCAGTGTGTGCCCCCCTCCACCCTGGCCCACAGCGGGTGAGCTCTGGGGGGGGCCCCCCTCGGTGCCCACCTGGCATTTCTGACAGCAGGGGCCGTCGGATGCACACTGTGCCCCTGGCCTGAGCTGGCAGGTGAAGGCGTCACAGCAGGTGTCAGTGCAGTCCTGGGGGCACAGAGTGCTGAGCGCCAGGGCAGGGCCGAGAGCCTCCCCCACGCCCACCCCGAGACCAGACCCCGAAGGGTGCCCAGAGCTGGAGCCCACCCCAGGAGCCCTGCACCAGCCCCACACACAGAGGGTGCGGAGAGAGGTCTGGGAGGGGCCCCTCCAGAACCAGCCCGGAGCGCAGGAGGCTCAGAGAGGGCTGAAGGTGGGGGGTGGGGGGCTCACGTCTGGGAAGCCGCAGTCACACTGCTCGCCCGGGTCCACAAACATATTCCCACAGAAAGCGGCCATCACGGGCAGGCTGGGCGAGCGCTCCAGGAGGCAGCCGCCCAGCCCGGCCAGGAGGGCTTGCTCCAGGGCCCGGCGGCTGCAGTTGCTGAAGTTCAGGCCTGGAAGGAAGCTGGGGCAGGTGACAAGGATGGTGGGGGCGGCCCTGGCCCTGGCCCCGCCCCTGCTGCCCCCAGCCCCGCCCACTCCCTGCACCCTGCCCTTACTCCGTGGAGGCTTCCATGATGCAGGTCTTGGCTGGGGCTGGGCCGGGGCAGGGGCAGCGGCTCCCAGGGGAATCGTGGTCCAGGCCCAGGCTGTGGCCCAATTCGTGTGCGATGGAGGAGGCCACACCCAGGATGCTTGTGGAGTGGTCCTGTGGTTGGGGGAGGGGACACTGCAGGTGCAGCCGCAGCTTGCCTCCTCCCGTGCCTGCCTCTCCGACCTCTGGGCCCCCCTCGAATGCTTCTGCACCTGGGCTCTGCCAGCTGCGTCCCCTTCCCTCACTGCACGGCCCCTGGAGGTCACCCGTGCCCCTGGGCCTTGGCAGTCTGCACCCTCAGCCTCACGGTGAAGAAGGTGCCCTCTGATGAGCCAGCCCGCTGGCCCAGGCCGTACCCTCCCCGCCCCACCTTCCATATCCACGGCGTGGGCCTCGGGCAGCTTGGTAGGGGCCGGGGGTTCAGAGAATAAGCTGTACCCTGCCGGGGAGGAGGTGACCCGGAAGACGACTCACCATGTTGACGGCTCCTGAGAAGTCAGAGCAGATGGAGTTCTGCATGGTCATGCCCACCACAGGCCCCGAGAACGAGATGCCGCTGTGGGGTCAGAGGTCAAAGGTCAGAGCCCAAGCCATTGAGGTCAGAGCTCTAGGGTCTGAGGCAGGGAGTCGAGGTGGCAGGGGACTGGCTGGGTCAGGGTCCACCAGGGCCCCTCTGGCTGAGCCCCGGGGCCTTACGTCACCAGCTGGGCACTGTCATGGGGCAATCGAGGCAGCAGGTCCGCCTGGCGCCAGTGCAGGAAGTTGTCCAGCGTGACGGCCGCGTCCGGGCTCACGTCCACCAGGTCGTGCTGGGTCCAGGCCTCCAGGCCCACCAGTGCCACGCGGACATTCAGGGGCCGAAAGAACTGAGTGAGAGACTGGGCTCAGCGACGGCTTGCTGGGCTGGGAGCTGGGGGGGTCTGGGTGGGGCTGGAGGGGCCCTGTGGCGCTGTGGCCCAGCCCTGCACTCACCGTGTCCAGCAACAAGGCCACTTCCAGCGTGCGGTTCAGCAGCTGCTGGAAGTCCGGGTACCTCTGCACCTGTGGGGCCGGGGCGGCGGGCGTGAGCGGGGCCTGCGTGGGGGTGGGCAGGGCGGCGCGGGGCCTGCAGGAGCCCACGGGCTCACCTCCGAGTGATCGGCCACAACCACCAGCTCCACAGTCTTGGTCTCGGTGAGCACATCGCGCCTCCGCTGGGACAGGAGGAAGGAGGGTCAGGGAGTCTACTGCTGGGGACCGACCCCACGTCTCCCGCCCGACCCTGTGTGCTCACAGAGCCCGCCCACTTCACAGATGAGCACACTGAGAGCCAGAAGAGCCGGGGACTTGTCCAAAGTGGACAGAGATTAGCTTATGTAGCTGGCAGCAGAGTCCCACTTCGCTGGCTCCAAATGCAGTGCTTTTTCCAAATTAAAAAAAAAAAATCATCATAGTGAACACGATCAAATCCCCTGTGCCAGCCATAGTTTTAAGCACTTTTCGTACATATTGATCCATTTAATCTTCCCAGCAACCCTGGTAAGTTGGTCCTATTAGCCCCATTTTACACTTCAGGAAGTTGGGTCTTTATGGCTTCGTAAGTGACAACCACGTATAAGGGGGTCTTCAAAATGTTCCTGCAGGGGAGGGCGCTTGACGCAGTGGCTAGGGTGGTGCTGGGGCACCTGCTTCCCATACTCGGGTGCCTGGGTCCAGGTCCCGGCTCCACCCCTATTTCCAGCTTCCTGCAGTCACTGATGGCTCCAGCACTTGGATCCCTGCCACCCCATGGGAGACCCACAGCTCGCTCCTGGTTCTTGGCCCAGCCCCAATTATTATGGGCATTTGGGGAGGGAGCCAGCATGTGGAAGATCTCTGTCTCTCTCTCCTCTTGTTTCTCTGCCTTTCAAATAAATAAAATGAAACAAGAAGTCCATGGAAATGTGTTTTATGAAAAAACTACATGGATTTCAAATTAAGTTTATCTTAAAAAAAAAAAAAAAGAGTCAGGGGCTGGTGCCGTGGCGCAGTAAGTTATTCCTCTGCCTGTGGCGCGGACATCCCATATGGACGCCGGTTCTAGTCCCGGCTGCCCCTCTTCCAGTCCAGCTCTCTGCTGTGGCCTGGGAAAGCAGTGGAGGATGGCCCAGGTGCTTGGGCCCCTGCACCCGCGTGGGAGACCCAGATAGATAGAGTTCCAGGCTCCTAGCTTCAGCCTGGCCTAACCCTGGATGTTGTGGCCTTTTGGGGAGTGAACCAGTGGATGGATGATCTCTCTCACTCTGTCTCTCTCTCTCTCTGTAACTCTACCTTTCAAATAAATCAATCATTTTTGAAAAAAGAAAATTATTTAGTTTATTTCTTTCTTTTCTTTCTTTATTTATTTATTTATTTTTTTTTTTTGGACAGGCAGAGTGGATAGTGAGAGAGAGAGACAGAGAGAAAGGTCTTCCTTTGCCGTTGGTTCACCCTCCAATGGCCGCTGCGGCCAGTGTACCGCGCTGATCCAATGGCAGGAGCCAGGAGCCAGGTGCTTCTCTTGGTCTCCCATGTAGGTGCAGGGTCCAAGCACCTGGGCCATCCTCCACTGCCCTCCAGGCCACAGCAGAGAGCTGGCCTGGAAGAGGAGCAACTGGGACAGAATCCGGCGCCCCGACCGGGACTAGAACCCGGTGTGCCGGTGCCACAGGCGGAGGATTAACCTATTGAGCTGCAGCCTAGTTAGCTTATTTCAAAGTCAGAGAGAGAGCTTCCATCTGCTAGTTTTTCGCCTTTGAACTTTTTTTTTTTTTTTTTTTTTTTTTTGACAGGCAGAGTGGACAGTGAGAGAGAGAGACAGGTGAGAAAGGTCTTCCTTTTGCCGTTGGTTCACCCTCCAATGGCCGCCGCGGCCGGCGCGCTGCGGCCGGCGCACCGCGCTGATCTGATGGCAGGAGCCAGGAGCCAGGTGCTTTTCCTGGTCTCCCATGGGGTGCAGGGCCCAAGCACCTGGGCCATCCTCCACTGCACTCCCTGGCCACAGCAGAGGGCTGGCCTGGAAGAGGGGCAACCGGGACAGAATCCGGCGCCCCGACCGGGACTAGAACCCGGTGTGCCGGCGCCGCTAGGCGGAGGATTAGCCTAGTGAGCCGCGGCGCCGGCCTGCCTTTGAACTTTGTAACAGCCAAGACTGGACCAGGCAGAAGACAGGATCTGGGAACTCAATCCAGATCTCCCCATGGGTGGCAGGAACCCAACTACTTAGGCCATCCACCTGCTGCCCCCCAGGGTGCACACTAGCAGGAGTGGAGCCAGGACTTGAACCCAGGCACTGGGACATGGAATGCAAGCATCCTGAATGGCATCTTTTTTTTTAAAAAAATATTTATTTATTTATTTGAGAGGTAGAGTTACAGACAGAGAGAGGAAGAGACAGAGAGAGAGGTCTTTCATCTGCTGCCTTACTCCCCAAATGGCCATAATGGCCAGAGCTGGGCTGACTTGAAGCCAGGAGCTTCTTCTGGGCCTCCCATGCTGGTGCAGGGGCCCAAGCACTTGGGCCATCTTCTACTGCTTTTCCAGGCCATAGCAGAGAGCTGGATCGGAAGAAGAGTAGCTGGAACTCAAACCAGAACCCGTATGGGATGCTGGTGCCGCAGGCAGAGGCCCAGCCTGCCCTGCCACAGCGCCGGTCCCTGGAGTGGCATCTTAATGGCTGCAGCAAACGTCCACCCAGAGCTCATCTTCCAATTCCATTTGCACGAGCTTTTTGAAGTACCCTCACATTTCCTGTTCCCAAGCGGGAGTGGACTCTGAAGACGCACAAGGGCCTGAGCCAGCCGCCCGGCCCTGGGCAGGTCACCCAGCCCGCAGGGGCAGGCTCCTCGTGTGGGAATGGAGCCATAGCTAGCACCCACCTCCTAGGGCTGCTGGGCCCCGGGGGCGGAGCCCTTGTTCCTGTGAACAAATGGCTTGACGCTCTGGGGTCAGCCCCGGAGACAACTGAAGCCCAGCCCTCTGCAGACCCTCCTCACCCGATGGCTGGGGTGCTGTCCACGGGGGGGCTCTCGCAGAGGCTGGGGGGTGGGCACAGATGTGCGCCAGCTCAAGGCACAGGTGTGACCTGGCAGAAGGAGGTCTTGGATCCGGGAGATAACGGGAGGGCCCTGAGGATCCCCAGGCCCCGGCTCCAGGGCATAGCTTCTTTCTGGGGACAGGACCACCAGCCCCCTAGGGAAAGACAGGAAGTCACAAAACGTCCAGCTGCACCCCCGCGGGTGCCCTCAGTCATTCCCCTGTCGCGGAATCCACCTGCTGTACCTGAGCCCAGAGCAGGTGCACAGGGAGGCCCAGGAGCCGGCGTGGCCCTGCACCAGTCCCTCGTAGCAGCAGTCCTCCTAGGGCACAGGGACACTCATGCCAGCACGCCGAGCAGACCAGGACTTGAGCCCAGGAGTCAGGCTTACAGGCCAAGGTGTGCAGCGTCCGCAGGGCTACCACCCCCACCCCCTTCTTCCCTCAGCTAGAAACGAGGCACGGGAGGGCTTGACTCACCAGAGTGTGTCCCTCACTGACCACCCGGGTTCCATCAGGTTGGTACCACACCAGGGCTGGGCGGCCTGTCACCAAATCCCTGTGGGATGAAAAAAGGGAGGGGCAGTGTCCGGCCCACGTGCCACCATGGTGCAGCATCAGGCTGCGGCCTGGAGAGGGCTGAGGGGAGGCGGGAGGCCAGGCCACTGCCCCGAACTTCCCCCTCTCTCTGGAGGCAGCAGCATTTAGTGCTTGGGCCACAGATCCCCTAGGCTGTCCGAATTCCAATCCGGTGTTCACCATATCCTAGCGGTGTGACTTTGGGCAAGTTAATCAACCTCTCTGTGCCTTGACTTGGTCAATTTGCACAATGAGGCCCTTCTGAAGTCGTCAGGGGGTGACAGGAGAGTGGCAAGCACTTAGGACCCGACACCTAGTGAAGGCGACTGGGGCCGCTGGCCACGTGACTGTCACCATCAGCACCAGCTCACCTATTCTGAAGCAGCTCCAGGATGTGACTCTCTCCGTCCAGCTCCAGCTGGATCCTCAGGGCCTCGGGCAGGCTGCTCTGTGGGCACCAAGAAGGCAGGTCACCTCCCTCACCCTGCCCCGGGACCAGAAGCCTCAGGTCCTCAGGAGAGCACCGAGGATTAGATCACTGGTGGAGGGATCCCCAGGGAGAGACCAGGAAGCCCTGCCTGGCCTGGGGCATTGTTCTGGGGGTTGTGTGAGGAGGTCAAGGGAGGTATCTGAGCCGCCCCTTCTCGGCTTCCTGCCCAGAGAGGAAGCACCATGGAGGCCCCGGCACAGGCCCCAGCCCTTCCTCTGACTCAGCTGCAGAATGGGGCTGGGGGCGGGGGGGCTTTGGGGAAGGTTTGACCCTCTCCAAATCCCCGCCACCATCACCACTGAGAAAACGGGCAACACCAGGGGAAGCAAGCAAGTCTGGCCTCAGGATCTCCCCAGTGGAGATGGATGGCTTGTGGGCAGCCAGGCAGACAGATGAGCGTGGACAGAGAGGGGAGAGGGAGCTGAGTGAAGCCAGGTGCTGGGGTGTGGTGGGGGAGGCAGCCAGACCCGGGGAGGACCCGCTCCAGCCATGCCTTGGCCTTGAGATACCTGATTGATGTGGGGTGGGTGTAGGTCCACATGCCAGGGGCGAGGGGAGCTCACATGAAGCACCTCGGCTAGGCTGAGTGGGCGGTCATCCTGAAGGATCTGGGGCTCCAAGGACCCACTCCACAGCTTCTCCGGTCTAGCCTGCGGCTCCTCGGGGCCACCTACAGTCCCGGGCAGCCCAGGAGAGCGCTGAGGCAATCGGCCCCACGCTGGGGTGGCTGATGCCCTCAAGACCCACAGAAGGCTCCCAGAATCAAGGCCTGTCTGCCTGAGTGGGTCCTGCACTGCATGCTGGGACTTAGAGAATATCGGAGCGAGGGGGCTCGCCTCCCACCCACTGGTCCCCAAGTTCCCAGAGAAGGAAGCTCGCTTGTCCAGCCTGCAGCCCCTTCTTGACCTCCCTGGGCCAATCCCAGATTCTCACAGGGACCCTCCCCTCTCCCCCCACCCCCTCCACCCCCTACCCTCAGGAACGCCCTCACTCGGAACTGGGCGAAGCCATGTGGCCGGGTGCCCAGCCGCCCTCCCCTTCCCTCCAATGCAGAGGCGGGAACGCCCATTCTGGGTGAGCAAACACCCCCACCTCCCTAAATACCCCTCGTGTCCAGCCAGGCACACCCACTCCCCACAGCCTCGGTTTCCTCCCGGTACCCACCCCCCAAACAGTGGCCCGCTGTCCTCAGGACATCCACCCCCGCCTGCCCTCTCGGCCCCCGGCCCAAGACGGCAGCGGGAAGTGAAAGTTCCAAGGAGGAGTTAGTGTCCCAGCCTCTTTCCTGGCCAGTTCGCCCTTCTCCTGGCTCCTCCCGGCCCCTCCCGCCCAGCCGGGCTTCTGGTGGCAAGGACATCAGGGCTAGCGGGGGTCTGGCAGGCCGGCCTGACACGGCAGGGGGCGGGGGGCGGGGGCACTACAAGGATCCTCTGCACTGTGTCCCGCGAGCCAGCGTGCCCCTTCGGCGGCCTGGCACCAGCTGGAACAGCCAGCTAGGCCCCAGAGAAGCAAAGGCGTCAGTCCTGGGGAGCAGCGACCCTCCTTCCAGGATCCCGCGGGAGCGCTGGGCAGGAGCCTCGATGCCTGGCACCTAAGCCGGAAACTGTCTGCGGGCACCGCGCAGAGGATCGAGCTGGGAGCGCCGTCATCCCTCCTTCCCTCTCCACTCCATCGCCAAGACACCGGGCCCTAGGCCCAGGACAGCGGGACAGCGCAGGCCGCGCTCTGGCGGGGCCCGACCAGGGTCTCCGGACGGCCCCAAGGACCCCAGTGGCTCCTCACTTCCCTGTCCCCCTTCCGGGTCCGGCCCCCAACCCACTCCCGGGCGGGGGACTCACCTATATCTGGAAGTGGTCGGGAGGGCAGAGGGCTCCCCGCGCCCAGGAGCCCCAGGGCCCAGAGCAGCGCCAGCCGCATGGCAGCGGCGCCCCGGGCCGGGCGAGGGCAGCAGGTGCGGGGCCGCGCGCCGACGAGCCGCGGCGGCCGGGTCTGCCTGAAGTGCCCGGTGGTGCAGCGCAGCCGCCAGGCCCCGCCCCGCCCCCTCCCCCCGGCCCGGAGCCGGGTACGCCCCGCCCAGGCCCCGCCCAGGCCCTAGGCCCCGCCCAGGCCCCGCCCCCGCCCGGCTTGGTCCGCACCGCTCGGCTCGGTCTGCGCTGCTCCGCTCTGCCACTTTCCCGAGACTGTGAGGGGTGGGGGCGGTGGCCGGATCCCACCAGCCTGGGTGTCGCGCTCCCCAGTGAGCTTCGCTGCCTTTCTGACTCATGTCCGCGGCCCACAGCCTTTTTGGGGGATCAATCGGGGCCCCCTCTCCCGACCCGCTAGGCAGCACCGGCTCTGGCGGCCGGCAACCCCAGGAAGGCGGACAGCAGGCGCGTGCAAGGCGTTTAATGGAACGGAGCGGAGCCAGACGCCCTTCACTCCGCGTAGGCGGTGTCGTCGTTGCTGTCGCTGTAGGCGGAGGAGGAGAGCTCCTCGGGGGGCGTGCAGGCCGGGCAGCACTGCCGCATGTCGTCCCAGCACGTCCGACAGTACACAGCCTCGCAGGCCGGCGTCGGGCACACGTAGGACTCGGGCGTCTCGGGCGCCTGGCACACCACGCAGCGCCGGCGCAGCCAGCGGCGCAGTGGCGGGCAGCGGCGGTGCAGGAGGTCCACAAGGTGGTGGCGCTGTTGGGAGGCGGGGGCGGTTAGAGCCCGCTGGGGAGCGAGGCGGGAGAGACGAAGGGTCCCGAGACGCCCCAGAGCCCCAGGCTGGGGGCTGCAGGGCGAGGGTGCTAGAGAAGCGGGCCCTCGAGAGTCCCTCCCGGGGGGCCGCGAGGGAGCTTGGGAGGACGCAGCCTGCAAGGGTCCCCAAGTGTCGTTTGCCTTCCCGGGTTCTCGCGGCGAGGCTGCGGAGTGACACGCATCGCCATCTTTATCCCCGGAGTCCCAGGAAGGGGAAGTAACTTTCCCGAAGGCACGCAGACCTGGTTACCGCGATTCTAAACCACAAGCAGCATCCGGCTAGCGGCTTTTTGCTCAAGAAGCTGGGGACCGGAGAGGGGCACTGCCTGCTACCCAAAAGCAGAACTCCTGGGTGTGGCAGCGTCCCCTACCCACCCCCGCACCCAAGGGCCGCCCTGTCTGGGCTAGTTCCTCCTGGGCTAGCCCTGGCACTGCACTCCCTTTGGGCTCTGCGTCTTTTCACGTCCTGTTCCCTCAGCTTGGAGGGACGTCCCGCACACTGCCATCTGCCTGTGCAAATTCAGTTTCCCTTGGGCCTGGTCAGGGAACCCCCCAGCTTGTTCACTGTGGCGGCTGGTGGGCTTCGGTGGGGAGAGAAAGCCGCGCAGACGCCAGTCCCACTTCTGTGAGCTCTGTGGGAGCCTCTCCTTACTAGGCGTCTAATGCCAGGCTCCGTGCTAAGAAACTGAGCAAATGAACTCATTCAGAACTTCATCTTCTCAGGCAGACACTGGCACTAGGATCACCTTGTTCAGGTGAGAAAACTGACCCTTCCCAGTGTCACCTCGCGCGACACATGGGGAAGGGACCTGCGGCGTGCCAGCACCACCAGTGACACTCACTCCCTCCCTGCAGGAAGCAGAAGGAAGATTCACCCATCTTCCAGGCGGGAGAACCCACACAGGTCCCGTACCACGCGTGCTCAAGATCCCACGGGGAGGGGGGCGCTCACCAGGGGAGAAGCCAGGGATTATAGAAGGCTCTCGGTCCCCAGAGCCCCACACCTGCCTGGTGGTAGGCCGCCTCCTGGCTAGAACGTGTGGCTCTGCCTGGGGCACCCCCATTTCTGGTAAACCTTGGGCAGACCGTATCACATCTGATTTTTTTTCCTGCCTGCTTGCTTGTGGGACACCAAACATCTCAGGCTGGGCTACATGCTGGACTACAGAGGTGGACACAACCTTGACCTCCAGGAACTGGATGACAAGGGCCTTTAGCGTGCATTGTGTTCACATCGGCCCCAGGGTCAGGGGCGGGTGCCAGGGTGGGGGACACCCCCCAGCCGAGAGCCAGCCCGAGCGCGCAGCCAGCACTTGCCGGAGCCCTCTGCTGCTGTGCCCGCCTCACGATGGCAGCCCGCCTTAGCTTGGTGAAGGCTGCTCTCTTCCTCAATAGCTCATTGTAGAAGAACAGCACCCGTTTCTTCTCTCGCTGGGGGCAGAGCGGGAGGCAAGAGGACCGTGACAGTGCTGCAGGCAAAGGCGTGCCCAGAGGGTGAGGGAGGTCAGATGGACACACCTTGGGGAAGTAGAAGGCGGCGATGACCCTTCGCAGCCGGTAGGCGAAGGCCTGGGCCAGGCAGAGGCAGGCCAGCAGGCCAGTGGGGAGTGCGGCTCTCCAGTAAGCCCTGGCGTCCAGGCACACGGGCTGCGGCAGGCAGGCTGGGGGAGGTGCAGGGCTGTCGGGCATCTGCTTGGAACCCCACCCCAGGGGGAGCTGCAGGTCGGGCCCCTCGCTCCCCAGGCCTGCCCGCTCCCACCCTGCAGGTCTGCAGTGTCAGTACTGTAGCTGTGTGCTCAGTGGGACACAGATCTGTAAAGTGTCATGGGCGGCACAGAGTTCTGGTAGCTAGCACTGCTCTAGAGAGGACTGAAAGCCCCTGGCCCCAAGCCCCCAGACCCTTCTGGCCCAAGCGAGCCCCTTGCCACCCCTCCAAGCCTGCAGCTGTGAGCGTGTATGTGTGAATATATGTGTGTGAGAGCTTGTGTGTGTGCATATGTGTGTGTGTGTATTCCTGCCCTGGTTTCTCCAACTCAAGCTGATTCTGATTTCTATGGCAGCAGGGCCCAGACCCCACCTCTCGACCTGGGACCCTCTGCCCTTAGTTCCTCTCACGCATGTTGTTTGATTCCACCGCCAGCTCCGAAGAGGTGTTCAGGGCCCCAATGGTTTTCCGAAGCAGCCGGGCCAGCATGGAGTCTCCCCCGACCTTCACCTCCAGTTTGTGACTGCCTGAGACCAGGATGGGGAGTGGGGGCATCAGGAGAGTGTTAGGGGGTGGGCATGGGGCAGGGGCCAAGGCCAGGAAATACCCAGGTGTGCAGGACTTCCCGTGCTGCCGTGGATCCAGCCCCTCCCTGCTGTGAAGGGGAAACTGAGGCCCAGCAGGTGACCGAAAAGCTGAGATTTGACCTGGGGGGGGGCTGCAGTGCACAGGTGGGGGTCCTGAGTCAGAAAAGGGAGCAGAAGTGGCCCTGGGAGGATCAGGGTGGCTGCCGGGGGTGGAGTTCCCGGGGTGGGGGGCGTCTCTGCGGCCGGCTCACTGCGGAAGGAGTACTGCAGGAAGGAGTGCTGGCGGATGGTGTCGAAGATGGAGTAGAGGGCCCAGTCCAGCCCAAAGAGCAGGAGCAGCAGCAGCAGGACAGGCAGCGTCTCCAGGAGCTCCCTCACCTGCTCGAGGGGCAGCAGGAGGGGTCGGGCTGGGCAGCGGCACCGGGCTGGCAAGCAGTGCGCCCTCCAGCCTCCGGGTCGCGCCCTGCGCACCACGTTTTTCATCTCGGAGCTCTGGACGGTGGGCTTGCAGGGGAAGATGACGGTTTTCTCCTCGGCCTTGCGGAGTGGCAGCAGAGTCCGCTTGCCCTGGGGAAATCAGTGTCCGTGCGGGAAGGAGCCTCCTGGAGCCGGCAGCCTGCACAGGGCGCGCAGCAAGGCGTCTCCGGCAGGGCCGTGCCGCTTACCAGCTTCTTCCTGCGTTCGTCGATCTGGCAGAAGTAGGTGCTGATGTAGATGTTGTCGAAACGGATGTCCTGCTCGTAACTGTCCGTGTAGGAGAAGGAGCTGGGGACAGACGGACAGGGATGTCACCTGTCCTCCAGGTCACCCACCTCCAGCCATAGGCTCCCCCCCCCCTTTTTTTTTCAGATTATTTTTATTTATTTGAGTTACAGAGGGAGAGGGAAAGACAAAGAGAAATCTTCCATCTTCTGGTTCACTCCCCAGGACCTGTCAAGAGCTTCATCCAGGGGACCGGAGCTGTAGCGTAGCGGCTAAAGCCGCTGCCTGCAGCGCTGGCATCCCATACTGGGTGCCAGTTCAAGTCCTGGCTGCTCCACTTCCCATCCAGCTCTCTGCTGTGGCCTGGGAAAGCAGTAGAAGATGGCCCAAGTCCTTGGGCCCCTGCACCCGCATGGGAGACCCTGAGGAGACTCATGGCTCCTTGCTTTGGATCAGCGCAGCTCTGCCCGTTGTGGCCAACTGGGGAGTAAACCAGTGGATGGAAGACCTCCCTCTCTCTCTCTCTCTCCCTCTCCCTCTCCCTCTCCTTCTTCCTCTCCTTCTCTCTCTGTGTAACTTTGGCTTTCAAGTAAATAAATAAATCTTTTTTTTTTTTTTTAAAGAGCTTCATCCAAGTCTCCCACCTGGGTGCAGGGGCCCAAACACTTGGGCCATCTTCTGCTGCTTTCCCAGGCACATTAGCAGGGAGCTGGATCAGAAGTGGAGGAGGGACCAGTGCTGTGGTGTAGTGGGCTAATCTTCCTGCGGTATCAGCATCCCATGTGGGGGCGCCGGTTCTAGTCCCAGCTGCTTCTCTTCCCATCCAGCTCTCTGCTATGACCTGGGAAAGCAATAGAAGATGGCCCTGCACTCACATAGGAGACCCGGGAGAAGCTCCTGGCTCCTGGCTCCTGGCTTTGGATCAGCCCAGCTCTGGCCTTTGTGGGCCTCTGTCTGTCTGTAACTCTACCTCTCAGGTAAATAAATAAAATGTTAAAAAAAAAAAAAGTGGAGCAGCTAGATGCCCACATGGGATGCCCACAAAGCCAGTCCCTAGCCATGGACTTCCTTGAGGACCAGGCGTTCAATCCACTGGGCCAGCATCCACCAGTCTACACCCCGGGCCCTGTGCTAGGCACTGGGGATGGTGAGGAGACTGCTTCTCTTCCAGTTGGGTGGTGTAAGGCATCTGCCCTCATAACCCATGTGGCTGAGCAGGTGAGTGGGAGACGAGGTGGGAGCCTGAGCGGGCTCTGCCAGCCTGCCTGGGAGTGTGGTGCGTGTGCATATGTGAGCTGGGGGCAGGCGGGCTTCCTGCAGGCTGAGCATCCCGCAGAGGCAGGGAAGTGGGAGGCCACGCAAAGCTGCTGGAGTCCCTGCCTCTGGGCTCTGTCCGCAGTACATCTCCCAGTGCTGACTGCAGGCACAGATCATAACAGCCACTCACCATCTCCCTTCCCGCCTGCCCCTCCCTGGCTGCCCCAGAGCACGCCGTGATGTGTGCACGCACTTGCGCACATGTGTGTGTGCACGTGTGTGTCACACGTGTGTGCACACGTGCACATCGTCCATGTATCCTTCCAAGTCCCACATAATGCTTCAGTTTCCAGAGGAAAACATGTTAATTGTTGAAAATGTTTAAAACTGTAAATGCACATTAGATAAGTGATGTGAAGTCTGAGATTTAAATCCCTAAAAATTCCATCTTTGCCTTTAAGACAGAAATAGCTACAAATACAAAAACAGACTGTGAGCGCCCCCTTGTGGAGACACCTCCGTGGTGCTGGGATTCCTGAGCCAGGGCCTTGCCCTCCCACTGGCTGGCTCTGTCCCTTCAGCGAATGACCTCACCCAGGCTGAAAGCCTGGAAGTGGCTTTTGACTCTGTGCCTCCTTCCTTCCCTCCCCAAGCTGGCTCTGAGACCCGCTGCACCTTTCCCCTTCCGCCTCTGTCTCCTGCCATCTTCCTGCCACGCCCCACCCCAGCTGGGCTCCGTCACCTGTGCCTCGGCCTGGCCTCCCTCCTTCCAGTGGGCCCCAGTCCATCCTGCACCCACCCCCAGGGCAGGGCTCTCCAGACTTTTCTGGTCACGTCTACTTGGGCCCAGTCCTCCACGCCAGGCACTGCGCCCCACGCCAGGAGAACGCCCCACCCTTCCGGCCATGGCTGTAGCCTTCGGAGCCCAGATGTGGTGCTTTTGGGGGCCACTGCTCTATTCCCACACATAACCTGATGGCCCTTGAACCATCTGCCTCGTAGGTGCTATCACCACCCAATGAGACCAGGAGCTTCTTAAGGGCGGGCACACGGCTCATTCACCTTCGTCCCCCCGCTCGCTGGCGGCCACTCTGGGCCCCTCGGACAGGGGCAGGCAGAGCAGGGGCATCTCGGGCACTAGGGTGGGGGCGGGGACGAGAAACAGGGTGTCCGGAGGTCAGCAGGAGAACAAGAGCCCGGCAGGCCCAGGCGGTGCAGCTGGACGCCAGGCGGGGTGCGGTCAGGGACTTTGTTCTAGATGGAGGGAAGGGAGCTGCCAGTGCAGCAGGCGGGAGAAAATGAAAGCCAAACTGGGCGATAAAAATGGCACAGAGTCGGAGCCGAGGGGACCGAGCAGGGCGAGCCGCAACGGGAGCTCAAAGCCGTATGGGATGAAGGCGGGGAGGAGGCGTGGAGGTGGGGACGGGCACCGTTCCTTCCTCCCGACAAAATGGCCACATTTCCGTCAGCTTTGTGTAAACAATGAATCCAGCTAGGCAAAGAGCATTCCGAGTGGGAGCTGGGCGGGGGTCCCGTGACTCACGAGTGCAGGACCAGCAGGAAGGCGCAGGAGAACAGCGTGTGCAGCAGCCCCAGGGCCCACTCCAGCTGGGCCTCCTGGCGCTCCACGTAGTCCCGCACCTCGGCACTCACGTGCTCCCAGCTGGTGTTGAGGCCCAGCACCGCGCTCTGCCTCTCTTCCTGGGGGAAGGCACCGAGCAGCCTCAGCCCGCTGCAGCGCCAGGCCGGCCGCCCCGCGCAGGCGCGGCAGGAGGCGTCCCTTCCTCCCAGACTCAGCCTTGCTGCCCTGACCCTGCTCACCTGGCTGCTTTCCTGCCCCAGCCAGGTTCATCCACACACACACACACCCCGCCGAGGCACCAGCACCACGCCCCTCCTGGTGCCCCCCTCTCATGCCCGGTCCCCTCTTCCCTGGGCCTCCCTCACATGTGCTCTCCCGCTACCCCACCTGCCCCTCCCCCACCCAGCGCAGGTGCTTCCCACCTTGATGTCAATGTGAGCTGAGAATTCCCCGTCCAGCCCACGAATAGACTGGTTGAGGGAGTCGTAGGTCTGCCCGAAGTTGCCTTCCACTGGGATGCGACGGCGGCACCACACCTCCATCACTGGCAGACAACAGGGCGGGTCAGGGCGCCCCGTCCGTGTGCGGCTGGCCTCCCCTGCAGTCCTCTTCCTGCGGCCCTGTCTCCCTGCCTGTGGCTTTCTACTGCACCAGCTCCTCCCCTCGCCTCCCTTCCTGGGGAAGCAGGGCCTGATTTCCATGTTTTCGCCTGTCCATAGCCATATAAACGCTGATAATGGTAGTGAACGCCTACAGAGCCCTTGCTCCGGGTGCCAGCTCTGTTACTGCTTTTCGTGCATTATCCGCTACAATGCTGGGAGAAGCACTAGCGCTTTCATCTGTCAGAGGGAGCGATGGAGCTCAGAGCTTTGCTGTCACCTACCCTGTGTCCCAAGGCCAGTTAGTGGTGGGCGGGGCTCAGAGGGTGGGCACTGTGTCCTCAGAGCCTGAACTCCCCCCACCCAGGGTCAGCCAGCTCTCCCCAAGGACTCAGCTCCCTAGCCCTGGCTCTCCCCCCACTCCTGCCCCTGTGCCGACCCTTGGCAATGCTGCAGAAGAACTTGAACTTCATAGGCAGGCAGAGCAGGTGGTTGAGGAGTGGGACCTGGATGCGCTGCATGCACTGTTGGTGCTTCTGGGCAAACCAGCGCCGGCAGCTCACTATGGCCTTGTTCACTATGTCTGCGGGGAAGCAGGCAGGGGCGTAGGAGATCCTGCACCCCGCCCTGGAGCCCCGGCCCCAGGCTGCCCAGCCAGGACCCCTCTCACGGGAGCAGCGCAGCTTCGTCTTCAGCTCATACATCTTCTGGGTGGAGAGGTGGAGTCTGGAGCCCAGGGCTGCGCGGGCCCCTACGCCTAGGGCCGTGTCCTCGGAGTCCCCAGCATCCTCGGCGGCATAGCCGGCCTCACCGGTCACCTGGGCGTCCAGCTCCTCGAAGGAGCTGGAGATGTTGTGAGCCTCCGCTTCCAGTGCATTTTTACTGCTCTGGGGGTAGGGAAAGCTTGGGGGTTTGAGAGCTGCCAAGCCTGCAGCCTGCCCTCCTCCCCCAGGGCCAAGCTTACCACTCCTGCCCCAGGCCTGCAGGGAGCTGGGGCTCCCGGACACAGCCGCTGGCGTCAGTGCTCGGCTGCTCCCCATCGGGAGATATCCCCGCCTCCCAGACCGCCCTCCCTTACTCCATTCCTCAATGCCCCGCTCCTCAAGGCTTCTGAAGTGTTCAAGGCCATGGCCCCCAATTTCCTGAAATGTGTCACTCTCCTGCCCGGAACACCACCCACCCGCTGTTGGGAATGAGGGGGAGGGCGCTGCTGGCACTGGCAGTGGGGATGGGAAGGGAGCCCCAGGGCCATGGCTCCCGGCACAGGTCCGCCCGGCCCCCAGCGCGCCCCGCCCCGGCTGACCAGCAGGTCCTTGAACACGGCCCGCAGGGGGGCAGTGGAGACGCGCCAGGCCGAGCGCGTGTTGTTGATCTGCAGCTCCACGGTGCAGCCCAGCGACGCTACCACTTCATTGAGGTTGTGCCGCAGATTGGCCACTGGCCCTGGAGGAAGAGGCCCCAGTGGTCGCATCCCTGAGCAGCCGCTACTTCCCCCAGACACGGGTGACACTGGGACCGAGACACCTGGGAGCACTCCTTCGGCTCCACGCTTGATTTCTCTCCACCAGAGAGAGTGAGGAGTTCTCTTGGGGATGCACAGCAGGTCGCAGCAGCTGGGGTTAGATGCCTGGATTTTCCCCTTCCCCAGGCCCAGTGCCCGCGGGGCGTCCCCCGCCTCCCCACTTCCCACCCAAGGTCGCTGCTTCAGCGTCACTGACGAGGAACACATGCTCACCCTCGTAGATGGCAGCCAGGGCGTACCCCAGGACAAAAAGCCTGCCCTCTCTGCCCAGCATCTTAGGTACTAGCAGGAGACTGGCACAGCGGATGTGGGGGGAGGTCCCCCAGCCCATGGCTCCCAGACCTGTGGGGAGAGCAAAGAGAGGGAGCTGCCTCACCCCCCTGCCCCCCACTAGTGGGACCACCGCCTTCCCGCTCTGGATACCTTCATCCATTCTGTAGCATTTACAGTTTAGCAGGAGGCCAGCCAGAGGAGGGCTCGGAGAGCGATGGCTGGTGACTGACATGGGTGAGTGTATGGGTTCTGCGTGTTTGTGTTTGGGAAGGGAGGGGAAGCCGCCACTTCCCATGTCCTGGCTGGATCCCCACTTGCCCCTGGTGCCGAGGGAGCATAGATCGAGGCAGCATGAGAAACCTGCTGGGGGCCGGTGCTGTGGCATAGGGGGCTAAGCCTCTGCCTGTGGCGCCAGCATCCCATAAGGGCACTGGTTCGTGTCCCGGCTGCTCCTCTTCTGATCCAGCTCCCAGCTTATGGCCTGGGAGAGCGGTGGAAGATGGCCTACGTGCGTGGGCCCCTGCACCCACGGGGGAGACCCAGAGGAAGCTCCTGGTTCCCGACTTCAGATAGGCCCAGCTCCGGCCGTTGCAGTCATTTGGGGAGTGAACCAGAAGATGGAAGACCCCTCTCTCTCTCTCTCCCTCTCTCTGTCTGTGACTCTGTCTCTCAAATAAATAAATAAACATTTAAAATAAAAAGAGAGAAAACTTCTGGACACAGCACTGGTGCTGAGTGGCCAGGAGACAGGTCAGGGCCGGCCTCCACGTCCCTGGGGACCTGACACCGGCTGTGGCACTGGCACCCTAACTGCAGCCCCTCCCGGTGTCGGCAGGGTCCCCGCAGTTTCGCCCGGGTCTTCCTGTGGTGTCTGCAGGCCGACGGTGAGCTCCTGGAAGCTCATAATCCGGGGAGAGAGACAGCCGAGTAAACAGATGACTCCAGCCGCATGTGCTCAGAGCAAGGCGCTCCCTCCGGGAGCTGTGGGAGCCGGCAGGGTGGGGCTGGAGGGCGGGACCAGGCCTGCGAGATGAGTAAGTGTTGTTAGGAGGCATGGACGACATTCCAGGCCCAAGGAGCAGCAGGCGATCGCTGCTCAGGGACGCTGGGAGATGCCCATGTGGCTGGCGCGTGCGCCCAGCGATGGCCAAAGCCGGCCCTCCGTCGCGGCAGCCTCCTGACGAGTGTCCCAAGGCAGCCTGAGAGGTCTCGGGAACGCCTGAGTCAGACTGAGAGGCTTCCCTGCCTCGGCCCGCTCAGGGACCTTCTACCACCCGAGGGTGGGACCCCAGCTCCCCCACCGGGCGCTCCTCTGAGCCCCGACCTGGCGCCCCGCCTTCCCATGAGCCTCAGCGCCTCGGCCTCGGCCCCGCCCACGCAGACCTGGCCACTGCTCCTTCCGGCTCTCAGGTCTGCCGGAGCCCCTCCCCCGCCCAGGTCTTCACATGGCCGGCTCCACCTCGCCATACAGGTTTGTGGCGAAGCCCGGCAGGCGCCACCCAGCACTCTTCCTGCCCTCTCCCTCGCTAGCACAACTTGGGTTTTGTTCCAGGGCAATAGCCGGGCCCTGCCCCAGGCCCCTGGCAGGGTGGATGTGGGTGTGTCTGAACCCGTCGCGGCCTTCTGGCCAAACACTCCAACTGGGGACAGAAGCTGACAAATAGCTGACCTACATTCTAACCAGAGCCCCGCCGGGTGGGTGGCAGGTGCCGTCCGTGGGCTCACCGAGAGCAACACGAGAGTCTCCCAGTCCTCTACCCCAGCCAGTCTATATCATGTAGAGACTGGAAATGTGACTTTTCTGGAAGTGGGGGGGAGCGGTCGGAGCAGGCAGGCACTGGGGCAGAGTTGGGTGAGGCTGGTGGCACACATCACATGGGGGCCCCGGGAGCCTCTCTCAGCTCAGCTGCAGGAGCAGGCTGCCACCAGGGCACAGGGACTGGAGGGCCGGGGTGAGCTCAGCTTGGCGTCTCCTGGACTGTGGGGCGGGAGTGTGAACATGGAGGCCAACAACACCTGCTTTTCACGGGACAACCCCAAGTGGACGCCCGGGGGCACTGGGCCTGGAGCCATCAGTGAGCTTCTAAAGGAAGAGGTTGGGGGTGGCCTGCGGGCGCTAAAAGGGCTTCAGTTGAGGTCAGCTAAAGAGAAGAGCCCCGTGCAGAAGGCTGGGCACTGCTGAGGTCCACACGGAACCCCCCGAGAGCCCAGCGTCAGCGCCGAGACAGCCGGCCTGAGAGTGTGCCAGCTCGCAAGAGCATGGGGACCTGAGACTTTTGTCCCTTTTCCTCTCATTCTTCTAATCCCCTTTCTGATATCAGAAGAACCAGAAAGGGAAGGAAGTGGAGAAGAAAGTGAGTGCGGGAGCCCAGCCCCCACCTCTCCTGCAGACCCCACGCTGGGATCTGGCCTGGGGGGTTGGGGGGGAAGTTGGCGGGAGAGGGGGAAGGATGAAAGCCAGGCTGGAATTTTAGTGGTGCGACTGCACTTGACCGCTGCCCCCTGAAAATGAGTCACAGTTACGAGTCACAGTTACGGAAGCAGGACGAGGTCTTGTAAAGGCAAATGACCAGAGAGATAAGGTCTGCATAAAAGGCCACTGGTGGAAGAACACGCCTGAGTAGAGCGGCCAGAGAAAAAGTAGCTTCCTGCTGGTATCAAACAGAACTCAGAGGCCGGCGTCGTGGGGCTGCCGGTTAAGTCAGCAAGTGCCACGCCAGCATCCCATACCAGAGCGCTGGTTGGCGTTCCGACTGCTCTGCTTCCAATCCAGCTCCCTGATAATGCATCTGGGAAAGCACCTGGAAGGCGACCCAAGTCCTTGGGCCCCTGCCACCCATGGGGGAGACCTGGATGGAGCTCCAGGCTCCTGGTTTCGGCCTGGCCCAGCCCCAGCTTGTGGCAGCCATTTGGGGAGTGAACCAGCAGATGAAAGATCTCTTTCTATGGCTATCCCTCTCTCTCTAACTCTGCCTATCAGATAAATTAAATAAATAAATAAATCTGGGGCTGGCGCTGTGGCACGGTGGTAAAGCTGCTGCCTGCGGCTCCAGGATCCCATGTAGGTGCAGGATCGAGTCCTGGCTGCTCCACTCCCCATTCAGCTCCCTGCTAATGATGGCCTGGGCAAGCAGCAGAAGATGGCCCAAGTCCTTGGGCCCTGCACCCACATGGGAGACCTGGAAGAAGCTCCTGGCGGCTGGCTTCAAATCAGAGCTCTGGCCATTGCACCCATCTGGGAAGTGAGCCAGTGGATAGACGATCTCTCTCTCTCTCCCTCTCTTTCTGTCTCTCCCTCTCTTCCTGCAAATCTGCCACTCAAATAAAGAAATAAATCTTTTAAAAAAAAATCTTAAAAAACAATTCATTCATACTGGGTACAATGCTAATTCCATCCCCTTGCCTGGAATAGGTTCTAGGTCGGCCATGTGTGGCCGTTCTTTTTCTTTCTTTTTTTCTTTTTATTTTTTAAAGATTTATTTAGTTATGGCTGGTGCCGCGGCTCAACAGGCTAATCCTCCACCTAGCGGCACCGGCACACCGGGTTCTAGTCCCGGTCGGGGCGCCGGATTCTTTCCCTGTTGCCCCTCTTCCAGGCCAGCTCTCTGCTGTGGCCCGGGAGGGCAGTGGAGGATGGCCCAAGTGCTTGGGCCCTGCACCCCATGGGAGACCAGGAGAAGCATCTGGCTCCTACCTTCGATTCAGCGCGGTGCACCGGCCGCAGCGCACCAGCCGTGGCAGCCATTGGAGGGTGAACCAATGGCAAAAAGGAAGACCTTTCTCTCTGTCTCTCTCTCACACTATCCACTCTGCCTGTCCAAAAAAAAAAAAAAATTTATTTATTTATTTGAGAGGCAGAGTCACAGACAGAGAGGGAGAGAGACAGAGAGAGAGAGAGATCTTCCATCCAGTGGTTTACTCCCTAAAAACGGCCACAGCGGCCAATCAGGAGCCAGGAGCCTTTTCTGGATCTCTCCCTTGGGTGCAGGGGCCCAAGCACTTGGGCTATCTTTTAGTGCTTCCCCAGGCCATACGCAGAGAGTTGGATCAGAAGAGGAGCAGCGGGGATTTGAACTGGTGCCCATATGGGATGCTGGTGCTGCAGGTGGAGGCTTAACCTACTATACCACAGCACCAACCCCTTGGTGTTTTTTTTTTTTTTAAAGATTTATTTTTATTTATTTTAAAGGCAGTGTTACACACACACACACACACACACATATCCTCCATCCACTGATTCACTCCCCAAATGGCCGCAATGGTCAGCACAGGGCCAGGCCAAAGCCAGGGGCCTGGAGCTCCTTCTGGGTCTCCCTGGTGGGTGACAGAAATCCAAGTACTTGAGCCACCATCTGCTTTCCCAAGTGCATCAGCAGGGAGCTGGGTCAGAAGTGGAGCAGCCAGGACTTGAACCAGTACTCATATAGGATGCTGATGTTACAGGCAGTAGCTAACCTGCTGTGCCACATGTTGGTTCCATGTTGCAGATCTGACCGAAGATATATGAAAGTCTGCTGGGGAGAGTACGGGACGTTTTCCTTGTTCCTGGTCTTTGATATTGTTGTAAGAAGATGAGATATCTGGAGTTGCTTCAGCCATTTTGTGACCTGAAGAGAAGTAGCTGACAGGCCAAAGATGGAAGATAGAAAAGCCAGAAGGAACTTAGGCCCTTGCTGGTTGGAGCTGTTGAGTGATCCAAACTCCAGTGACATCTTACCTTGAACCTTTTTGTTACATGAGATAATAAAGTTTCTCTGTGGTTGAACCACTGTTAGGTGGGTTCTCTGTTCTCGCAGCCCCACACCTGCTGATACAAATTCTCCATTCAATATCACCTTCTCAGAGCTGGCACTGTGTGCAGCGGGTTAAAGCCCGGCCTGCAGCGCCGGCATCCCCTGTGGGCACCGGTCTGAATCCCGGCTGCTCTACTTCTGATCCAGCTCCCTGCTGGTGCTCCTGGAAAGCAGCAGCAGATGGCTCAAGTCCTTGGGCCCCTGCATCCAGGTGGGAGACCTGGAAGAAGCTCCTGGCTCCTGGCTTCTGATCAGCTTGGGTCTGGCTATTGTGGCCATGTGGGGAGTGAACCAGCAGATGGAAGACCTGTTTCTCTCTGTGTCTCTACCTTTTTCTGTAACTCTTTCAAATAAATCTTTAAAAAACAAAAAACAAATATTACTTTCTCCAAGAAGCCTTCCCTGACTACTCAAGCTACAGAGGCCCAGAGGGGAGAACTGCAAAGGGCCATGGGATTTGGACCACATCACGTGTGTGACAGCAGAGCCTTGAGGGTGAGGACTGTGTCTTCTTTCTTAGACTGGGGGCCTCTTCTCTCTGGATGGCCCCCTAAAGCCCAAGAGGAGGCCAAAGCCTCAGGAAAGCCTGGGGACAGAAGGCAGCAGCTCCAGCTCCACCCCAGCCCACCCCAGGCATCCCGGCCTGGGCCGAGCGCCACAGGCCTCTGCCCGGCACTAACCCACCAAGCCGTACAGCATCACCATCTTCTCCTCTTCGTAGATGTTCACGGGGTTCACCAAGAGCTCGAAGAGACCTGGGGGCACGGGGCAAGCCAAAGGTCCAGCGCCTGCCCAGCCCTGGTCCAGCCCCTGCCAGCCCCGACTCTCTGCTTCCATACGCACCTATGGCCAGGAGTCCCCCAGTGCCTGCCCCCAGCAGGAAGGCGGTGACGGGAAACTCGCCGGGCCGGCGCCCCAGGAAGTGGCTGCAGGGGCCTGGCAGCCCCCAGCTCAGGAGCCTGTGCACCGCTGGGAGGTGGGACGCACAACGCTCAGGAGCCCACCCCACAGCTGGCACACGGAGCAGTAGGATTGGGGCTGCCAGGGGAACCCGGGGAGTCCTGGAGGAGGCGGGGCAGGTGTGAGGAAGAGGAGATGAGAGGGCTGGGCTGGGGCCGGGGCACAGGGCAGGACAGATGGAGGATGGGGCTCCCCAAGAAGGGGGCAGGGGTCCCTGGATGAGAGAGGTGGGGAGGGGCCGGGCCCTGGGGACTCACTGGTATGGGGCGGCTTCTTCCTCGGCCCCCATGCTCCCTTCTGAAGGCGCTCAGTGTCCATGCGTGTGTTCCGTGGAGCCCTCTTGTAGCTCAGAAGCCTCCCCAAGGATAGCCTCTGATGTGAGGTGCTGGCCAGAGAAGCAGGGGTGGGGCCTGCACAGGCTGGGAGGTGGGGGGATGGGGACTAGAGACCTCGGAACTGGCTCAAGGGCGCTGGGACACAGCACAAGCCCTCAGAACCCCCGGAACGCGGCGACACTCCGGGGCCACAGAGCCCGGTGGGCCTCCCGGGAGACGGGTGAACCTTGGCCCCAGCAGCCATGCCCAGAGTCAGGGAGGACGCTGCGCGCTCCTGGGTGGCAGAGGAGCCCAGTCTGGCCCGGGGTGTGGTCCGCAGCACCGGGTGCTTCACGCTGGGCCTGATCTTGGCTACTGTCTACGGGCTCCTGGAGCTGCTGGTGGAGGGGCTGAGCCCCTGGGGCTGCCTGGTGGGCACCCTCACTGTGGGTGCCTTCCTCAGCCTGGGCATGGGCTTCTCCCGCCAGGTCCGCGCCACTGTGTTCCTGCTGCTGCCCCAGGCCTTCTCCAGTGAGCCTGGCACCCAGCGGGGCAGGTCCTGGGGCAGGAGGGCTGGGGGTGGGGTGCGGCTCCGGGACTAGGGGACTGTTCCGTAGGCTCCTGTTCCCGGCAGGGGTCCCGGTCACAAAGGCACCTGTGTCCCCTAGGGCAGGGCCGGATGCTGCTGCTGGTGGCCGCTTTTGGCTTGGTGCTGCAGGGGCCTTGTGCCAACACACTGCGGAACTTCACCCAGGCCAGCGAGGCTGTGGCCTGTGGGGCAGAGCTGGCCCTGAACCAGACTGCTGAGATGCTGGAGAGGGCCCGGCAGCCCCTCGTCAGTAAGGACCCCCCGCCTCTCCCGCTGGCCCTTGAGTCCCCTCACCCTGCATGCTCTGGGGTCCTTTGGCCCCACTGCTGTCTGCTGCTCTGGTATCTAACTTCAGAGGGTCCGGGGCAGGAAACGGAGTCTGGGCCTGGCCCGCCCCCACCCCCATCGTGGGTCTCTGGCCTCCTCCTCTGCCGGTGACCACAGCCCCCAAGACCTGAGCACCCAGACTCCCCAGTTCTGGGGAAAGTAGCTGTCTCTGCCCTCCCTGCCCAGGGGAAGTGCTGCCAAGGAGCCCCTAGAGGGGGAGCCTCCCAGAGCCCCTGCCCCCACCCTCAGGTGCCCTGCACAAGATTAAAGCGATTGCCCAGAGGGCCAAAGTGGTGGCCGACCGGGTGCGCAAGTTCTTTCGGGCCATCATGGACGGCGTGAAGCACGTGGGTGAGCATGTGGAGCGGATCCAGGTTGTTCCTTCCTCCTGGGGGGGAGGGTTCCAGGTGTACCCAGCCCCCCAGCCCCTCCTGAGGGGACACAGCCTAGGCAGGCCACACCCACAGGGCTCTGCTGCTGGTTGGCGGTCCTGGCCCCTGGGAAGAGGCTGAGGGGCTTGGGCCCTTGGTGCCAGCACCGTGGCTGTCCACAGCCAGGGCCCTGCGCAATGTGTGGTACTGGCTGCTGCACATCGGCGACGTGTGCAAACGCAGAGCTGGGCAACCCGTATTCCAAGTGTGCGCGGGTCTTCGACAACGCCAAGGACAAGTGTGTGACAGTCATTCCCCGCGCCTACCACCTGTGCTACACACTCATGCCGTTCAAGCTCATGCTCTGTGGACTTGCCAGCCGTGAGCGGGGCGGAGGGTGGGAAGGTAGGGGTGGGGCGGGAGGGCAGGCCCGGGGGGCCCAGGGGGTGATGAACAGAGAGCCAGCAAGCACACTGGGCCTAGGACCTCTGGAGACAGCCGGTGGGAGACCAGTGGTGGGGTAGGGGCAAGGTTTCGAGCCAACGTGGAAGCCAATCGGAAGTGGAGAAGGCCCAGGGCCGGGAGGGGTTGGGGGGGCGGGCCGCGTGTCCTCCCGGCTCCTGACTGCACTGTCTGTGGTTCTCAGTGGTCCAGGTGTTCTGCGTCATCCCTGAGTACATCCAGCCCTTCTTGCGCAAGACCATCGGCACCCGTGAGCAGCCCCTCCCCCGCCGCAGGCAGTGCCCCTGGGTGGTCTCCTTCCTCAGCCTGCTGCCGCTGCCAGTCTACCCCTACCCTGGGAGAGGGCCTCAGGAGGCCACCAGCCCAACGTCCACGTGGTCCCCACAGGAAAATGGAGGCCAGCAAGGGGAGGCGGCTCAGCAAAGATGGGCTGCAGAGCAGCGACCCTGCCCCCAGCCCAGGTCCCTGAGGTCGCTCATGGGCCAGGTGCACACTCAGGTGTGCAGGCTTGGTCCCCTGCGCCGTCCACCACACACCCACGCTCTGGGGGTTCCGGCTGCTCCCCAGGGACACCTCTGCCCCCCCCGTCTCTCTCTGGCCCCCGACCCTGCTTCCCCAGGGATACCCCTGCCCCCCATCTGTCTGCTCCCCCTGCCCTGCTCCCCAGGGACACCCCTGCCCCCCATCTCTCTGCTCCCCCCGCCCTGCTCCCTCAGGGACACCCCTGCCCCCCATCTCTCTCTGCTCCCCCTGCCCTGCCCCCCAGGGACACCCCTGCCCCCCATCTCTTTCTGCTCCTCCCCTGCTCCCCCAGGGACACCCCTGCCCCCTTCCTGACTCTGCTTCCTCCCCGGGGCCCCAGCTGTGATGGAGCTGATTAACCGGGTGCGCAGGGAGTTTGAGTTCAACATGACGGCCACGCACTACTTCTCTGTGGATCTCAATGCCTCGAGGAGCCTGTCGCAGGTGGCCTTGGACTTGCAGGAGGCTGTCAGCCTGAAGCTCTACCACATCCGGGAGGTGCTGGCGCTGATGGGCTATACCATGCCTCTGCTGATCACGCTTCTGTACCTCCAGTGAGCACTGCGGGGCCTGCGGTGCGGACGGGCTGCGGGCGACGGGCTGCTCAGGGTGCTCTCCACCCCCAGGGCCCTGTTTTACCGGTACTGTTACCTGAACTGGGACGATTTTGACAACGTCTACATCACCAAGCGATTCCTGCGCATGGAGGCCGTCCGCTCCCTGGCGGGGCTGCCCACGGTGCTGCCACTCAGTGCCCATGAGGCCGGACGCTACATCCAGCCCGGTGTGGACCCCGAGCATGGGGCGGGAGGCCAGGGCTCCCCCAACTCCAGGCAGGCTTGGTGCAGGGCCAGAGGGAGGTGCCATGACCCAGGCCCTAAGGACATGTCAGGCTAGGGGGAGCCCTCAGGAGTGGGAGGCAGGGAGTGGACAGGGAGCAAAGGAAGGGAAGGGAGAGGGGCGGCTCTCTGGGCAGGGAGTGCAAAGAACGGGAGTCTAGATGCAGCGGGAGGGGCAAGAGTGATCCTGGTGCAGGGGAGGAGCAGGGAAGGGAAGGTGTGCCTGCACCTCCAGTGTGCGGGGGTGGGGGGGTACTCCCTGCCCTTGGGTCCTCCCAGCTGCCTTCCTCCCCTCTTCCAGATGAGCAAACGGGCCTAGGCAGGTGCAGGTACCCTCCCCAGGGGCTGGGGTCCAAGGGGAGGGGTGCGGGGTGCGGCCTTCTGACCAGCGCAGTGCTCGCAGGTTCCATCTTCCTGTCCCGATGGGAGCAGGTGTTCTACATCCTGGACACCTTCAGCCTCATGCGCCACCTCCTCCTGGTCCTGCTCCTGGTCTTCCTGGACTACTCCGTCTTCTGGGTGCTCGACCTGGCCCGGTACCAGCTGCAGGGAGAGGTCGTGGCCCGCAGTGAGTGCCTGCGCCTGCACCTCCCCAGCCTCCCCTCATCCCGAGGGGTGGCCCGAGTGTCCCCAGGTCACCACCCACGCCCTTCTTCCGACTGCCTGGTAATACCTGTGTGCAGGTCAAGGTCACGGCACGACAGAGCAAAGACAGAAGCTCCGCCGGAGTCCCGCCGGCCTGGCTTCGAGTCCCAGCTCTGTCGTCTGTCAGGCAGGTTTCTCCATCTGAGCGCTGGGATCTTTGTAAGAGACAAAGGAAACTGTGTGTCCAGTGGCCGCTAGGGCCACAACGGCAGCGTGCCACCAGCCGAGGAAGGTCGTTGTCCCAACTCTGCGAGCCAGGGCTCCTGGAGCACAGCAGCAAAACACAGAAACCCCCCAAGAGCAGAGCAGTCCCGGGCCTGCGGCCAGTACTCAGGCCGTGATTCAAAGGAGCTCTTCCTGGGGTGGGCGCTTGGCACAGCACTTAGAATGCTGCCTCCTTTATCAGAGTGCCTAGGTCCCCGGCTCTGCTTATGACCCAGCTTCCTGCTAATGTGCACCCCGGGAGACAACAGGTGATGGCTCAGTTACTTGGGTCCCTGCCACCCGCGTGGGAAGATGAGCTCTGGCTGGTGTGAGCACCTGGGGAGTTAATGGGTGGATAGGAACTCTGTCTCCTCTGTGTCCCTTTGCCTTTCAAATAACTTACAACACACTACTAACACAGTAAGTGTTTCTGGGTGCTCACGGAGGCAGAGGGTGCACTGACAGACTGCTGAGGTCATCTCAGACCTGTGATCTGGGCGGGTGGACCAGACACCAGTGGGATAGGGCGCGGGAGGGGCAGGGCAGGCTTCCGCCAGCCACCCTCCGGAGGACGTGGGCACCTGCCGCGAGTGTCCCTCACACAGTGTCCCTGTGCCAGGCCCCGTGTTAGTGTCCATAACCGTGGAGGGAGTTGGCTACACCGGCACTATCTACCGTGACCTGGTGTCGGCATTCGATGTCCTACAACAAGGCAACATCAGCATCTTGTCCCGGCGCTGTCTCCTGCATCCCTCAGAGCCCGACACCACTGGTTACATAGTCATCGGTATCAGCCACAGCCCCGAGGGCGAGGGAGCCCAGAATAGTGGGCTGTGGGGGCTGGGCGAGGCTCACAGCCCCGTGTGCTCCCAGGTGCCATGTATGGCCTGTGCTTCTTTGTCACTCTGTGTGGCCACTACGTCAGTCGGCTGCGGCGGCTCATCTGTGCCTCCTACTACCCATCCCGGGAGCAGGTGAGGCCCCCACCACCCGCCCTGCCCCTCCCCAGGGGGCTGAGCTCCCAGCCAGCTGGCTTGGCTTCGAGAGCTTGGAGTTCTTCCGCAACCCCTGTCCTCTCTCCTCTGGTGGCAATCCACAGCAGGTTACCCGGACTGCGGGTCGCTAGGCCCCGGAGGGGGCTGGGAGAAATGGTGCCTCCTGGGGCAGGGCTGCCCAAGCCAGAGCTTGCTCCAGACTTGGGCTAAAACCATGGC